GATTTTGTAAAGATTTTTTAATAAATAGCTTAATATTAGACTCTTGTTCATTGGCTCTTGTTGAATGACGCACGTAAAGAATGAGCAAATCTGACCTTTGGAAGGAATGAGTATTCTGGGGAGCTGGGGAGCACTCAGGAGACAGAGGCAGACAGATCTTTGTGAGTTCAAAGCCAGTCTGCTTTAGAAGGAATGAGTATTCTGGGGAGTTGGGGAGCACTCAGGAGACAGAGGCAGACAGATCTTTGTGAGTTCAAAGCCAGTCTGCTTTAAAGAGTGAGTTCCAGGACAGCCAGGACTGTTACACCAAGAGTCCCTGTCTCAAGAAAAAAAAAAACGAAAAACAAAACAAACAAAAAACCAAGAAGGATGAATGAGTTCTCTTATGATTAGTTTCAAAAAAAGTTTGAATGAGATTCTACACTTTTTGAAGTTGTGGTTGTTTTTTGTTTTTTGTTTTTCTTACATGAGAGTGATGGAGAAATTGTGTTGTGAAGACATTGGTTCTTGACAAACTAGTAAAGTGTTTTTCTTTTAAATTCTTACAGATAAAACTGCATATGCCTATAGAGTTATAAAGCATCATTTTATATAATAGCCATTGCCATATTGAAGAGATGTCTTATATAATGTGTACATAAATGTTTTCTGCTATTACTAGTTGAATAAAATAGCTTTATTTTCTCCTGCAAAAAAATAAATAAATTGGTCAGATAGAGAAAATGGTGGTTGAGGTTAGGGACTTGGTCATTCATCATTTTTAACCAACTGTTGTCCTAGGTTTTGGTTTGAAAGAAAAAAGCACCCCCAAAGGAGTGGCACTATTAGGAGGCATGGCATGTTGCAGGGGGTGTTTCATAGTTGGGGTGGGCTGTGAGGTCTCTTTTGCTCAAGCTTCCCTCATTGTGTGTGTCAGTTAACTTCCTGTTGTCTGAGAGATGGAGGACTGTCAGATTCTCCAACATAATGTCTGCCAGCCTGCCGTCCAGGTCCCACCACCGTGATAATGGACTGAATCTCTGAAGTTGTAAGCAAGGCCCTCAATGAAATGTTTTCCATGTAAGTGTTGCTGTGGTCTCTTCACAGCAATAGTAACCCTCACTAAGACAGCCTATGTTTTGGTCTTTGAGAGAAATGGCCTAGAATGACTGGTTAGATGTGGCAGAGTAGCTCTTGAAAACACATCCAGAACCTTTCAAACAGGTGGCCCTTATTGCTGTGATCCCATTCATTATGTTGTCTTGACAGATGGGCTTCTCAATCTTAAGGGGTGGTTTTATAAAAGTGAGTTACAGAATGAGTCTCTAACTCTGCACTATAGGCAAACCTCCATCTGTCACATGTAATAAGACCTTTCCTTCTTTAAATAACCACAATGTCCCTGTTCCAAATGCAGGCAAGGACTTACCCCTCAGCATAAGCATCTAGGAACAGCTGGGTGGCTCAGTTTTTTTCCCTTTAAAATGAAATGATAATTATGAGCATAAATCTTCTAGGAGAAAGATGTGTTGATTTTGGGAGCCACCTGATGGGAGCCACCTGATACATCCCATTCCCTGGTACCCTCTAACCTCAAGTCAGCTGACATATAACCACTGCTTATTCTGTGTGTACCCAGGGTCTACTTCTCTTCTTTTTACTCCAGCATGGAGCCTGGCATCCACAGGTCATGGGTTTTCTTATTGCAGGTGAGCTTCTCCAGAGGTCTCTAAGAACCAGACCTGCTCCCGGCTTCCTCTTCTGCTGATGGCCCAGAAGAACAAGCTTAGGATCATTATGGGAAATTCTAGATGTTTGAGTTTAGTCCTGGACAAGAAGCAATGGGACTGAGACTATGCCCAAACACAAAAACGTGGGACTATAGGAGCTTCCCAATAAGAAAACGCCAGCAGTTCCTTGGGAAAAGACATCTGCTTTCCCTTGTCATTTGGTACTTTTGTTTTCAGGGATTACAGACTCTACGTAGTCTCTCTGACCTCCATTATTCAGACAGGCAGATTCTCCCTCCCTGGAATGCCTTCTACACAGGGCTGTTGCAGCTTTAGGAAGGTTGAAAACCACTTGTTGATATGCAGATTCCTTGGCTATGGCCTAGACCCTCAAGGTAGACTCACTAGGATAATAAGCCTGCTTCAAAGATTCCAATGAGCCAGGACCCCATGAAGACTCTCCAGGAAGTGTCAAAGATGCTTATGACTGTATTTCCACTAGGATCTTTTCCCCTGACTTTACATAAGGCTTTCACATTCTGAGGCCAAGCAATTGTCTCCAAGGCCTTGTGTCTGCTGAATGGTGAGGAAGGGATTTCCTGCTGTGGGAAATTCAGGCTGGTCTATCAAACAGAAGAGACTTTCAGGTCCACAACTGATCATCTTCTGAGAACCAGGACTTCAGAGCACACAGAGCATGCCTGGCCATGTTTCCACCGATTGCTCTGTCAGCTAGCTGTCTCACTATTGTGAAGGCAGGCTCTTCTTCATTTTTATTTAAATTATTGGTTCAGAAAGGGTCTTATGAAGCCCAGGCTTTTTTTCCCAAGACTCTGGGTCCTCTTGCCACTACTTCCCTGGTGATAGGGTCATTGGCATGTCAACACACCACCTTGTGTAGTGTCCCATCTTTATTGGATGTTCCCTTCCTATCTGCTGACACTTAAGGAACCTTCCATAATTTTCATCTGAATGAACCTATTATAGGAGGATAAAGACAGACTTATTAGCATATCCAGTAATCCAAATAGAATGTAGTTAAGCAGTGAATGGTGGTGGAATATTTCAGAGCCAGCAGAGTAGAAAGGGGGAAAGACATTGCCTCACCTCTACTGTCACACTGTTGTCAATATTTCTGTCCTCTGTGTCTCTGTCCATTCAGAAAACGGGTATGTCTACTGACATGCACAGATCCAAGTCTTCCTCCTTTCTCTGTGAGCAATACATCTTCCAGAGTCTCCAAAGTCTATGCTGAGGACCCATGTGGAAGTAAGGCATGGTTAGACCCAGTTTCTTCCAGAAAATGGAAAGATGGTCAAGGAGGCCCATGTCACATGGCTGTAATTGGTAGTGTCGAGTGATGAAGTCTCAGTTAGTTTCCAGTTGGCTACAGGTATGACTTATTTGTCAGAGTCAGTTCAGAAAGAGAAGGTGACCAAAGTCACAGACAATAACTGAAGTTTACCCACTCCCTCTCCGAATTTAGGGCTCTTAAAGCTTTGCTTGGACAGTAACAGACTGGAACCCACTGGGATACTTCCTTCACACATTAACTCCAGACTATCAGTCTGAGAAGTCACATCAATTCCAGGGGAACTTCACAAGAATAAAGCCCTCATCTGGAATGAACCCTTCCTCACTACCCTCTGAGAGCTACTATAGTAAAGAGTATCATTAACCACGCCCCTCCCTTCCTAGTCTTGCACAGACATGCTCTCCATCAGAGCAGCTTCCTATTAACACTGCCTAGCTGGTGCATCAACATGGATTTCTTAGCAAACCTACATTCCCAGGAGGGTCTTCTCAATTCTGTATTTCATGAGATGGGCCTAACTGAATGGTCCTGAACCCAGAGACACTCTGCTTTAATGTCTGGCATCCCAGGACAACCTCCCTTGCCTACCTCATGGACCTGTCTCTAAAATTCCCCCAGAAACATCCCTGTTCCCTTATCCACTACCTTCTTCTGGTCTCTGTGGAAACTGCAGGCTTGTGGTACATAGATTGCAGGCAAATAACCAGTAGACACAAACATAAGTAAACGAATCTGAAAAAAAAGAGATTTGTGTGACATATGAAGTCCAGGCGACAGCACCTTAAAAGACTCTATGTCCCAATGTGCTTTAGAGGGTTTTTTCCTGTTATCATTATCACTGGTGCTATATTTCAAGGAAAGCAGAAGCAGATACTTGTGGGTTTCCTTATTTCTTTTATACATCCATAATGAAGGTTCTCATTTCCTGAGATTCATTAGAAAACACACGTATATTTCTTAGAAATAGTATATGCATGATCATGTCATGAACATGCGTGTATTTAGACTCCATTTCTTTGGAGTAGCAAACATGTGATGTCAGGTGTGGTATATGATCTTTTTTGAATCATTTAGTGGATATTCATGGATTAGGCCATGCCATCTACACAGAGACACAACCCCTTTTGTAGCTCTGTCTGTCTGGGAACTTATAATGTAGCCAAAGTCACCAGGGAGCTGCAGAGATCCATCTCTGTTTGTTGAATTTTGCAGTTACAGGAGTGTGATACCACGCTTGATTAAAAGCCTAGTTTAAGAATGAAGAGTTTGAATTTTTTTTTGTTTTATGAGACAGGGTTTCTCTGTATTGTTTTGGAGGCTGTCGGTCCAGCCTGGCCTCGAACTCACAGAGATCCGCCTGCCTCTGCCTCCCGAGTGCTGGGATTAAAGGCGTGCACCACCACCGCCCGGCTTGAGTTTGAATTCTTATTTATGAAAATATAGTCATTTGACTCAATAGGGGCTTGAACAGGACATCTGATACACAAAGCATATAGTCTTAGCAAAATATCAAATATGAAACAAGAACAAAAGATAGGACCAAAAAATAACAAAACTTCCAAGCAAAACAGAGTTTAAATCAAATAAATTTCAAATCAAAAGCCCAAACAAGAAAGTTAAGCTAAGGAGTATTTTCAACAGTCAGATTTAGCTGCACTGACTATACTCTGTGGCCACCTTTGGACGCATAATACAAAGGCAGCCACTGATTGCACTAAGGCTTTCATGACAAGTATAGCCAGGGTCCTTTGGGGCTTTGAAGGTCAAGCAGTCACCAAGGATGATCCTATAACATGTTGGCCACTATATTATTCTTTTCATCACCATATGTCTAAGTTCCTACTCTAGACCAAAGAAGGATATGGGCAGCACCTGCTGTCCAAATACATAAAAGGCCACTCTGACATCCTCTCTCAATCTTTTCTCAGGACAGCTCTCTTCCATCAAGGCAGTGAGACAGGAGAATCTGCAGTCGATTTCACAATGGAAGAACAAATGATGAGAACCAGCGGGGGACAGTTATCATCTCTGTAGAGCATTGACCTCAGCATCCCAGGTACATGACATGCAGTAGCTTCAGCACTGGACAGGATGAGAATTTGATGTCTGGATGGCAGCATGACATCAATACAGTCTCCCTTGACAGATTTCCCTCCAATTGTGAAGGGCTGAGGACTCATCAGCTGGCAAATGTTCTCAGTGACAAACATTCAGAGTAATTATGAGCGGATATACACCCTCACTCCAAGTTGTTGAGGCCCACTTGCTGGTGGATGTCTGGGTCCTGAGTAATTCTTGGCAATATTTTTGGTACCTTGAGCTTCTTTCTGATGTTTTTTTTTTTTACTCTACAAACAGTGAGCCAACAGACACATCATTAAGATTAGGGATAAAACAGCTGCAGGGAGGTTCATATTTTCCTCAATGCTGAGTTTACAGTAAGAAGGACATGTCTTCTTCTGAGGAGGTCTTGTTTCTCTATTGGAGAATGTTGAGGTTTCTGATTGTCTGTGGCTTCCTTAGGCCTCCTCAGTTCCCTGAAAGCGTGCTCTGAGAGAAAGAGAGGCAATCAGATCGAAAAGCAGCCTTTTTCTGTCAATGACTAGACAAATTCAGGGCCCATTCACACATAGGACACCAGAGTCAAGAAAGAAAATCCACCCCTCAAATGCCATGGTTTCTGGAAATGTCAACAATGGAGGGTCACTCGCCTGTGACATTTAGTGCCCTGCTGCAGCATCTGGGTCTGCAGGAGGCTCTCATTGTGCCCTGAAGCTTGCTCCAGCTCATGCTGCAGTTTTTCAGATCTGGAGGAGGAAGGAAGACAGAGCACAGTCCTATTGGGGTCCTGGCATGGCAACTGTCAAGCTCTGACATCACAATTGTGCCTGACAGTCAACATTGATCTTTTGACAAAAGTCATTGTATCCCGAAGAAAAAAGGGCCACAGAGTAGTTTGCCCTTGAATTTTTGTCAGACTTTAACAAGTGTCACAAGTTGATCTGAGTACTGTATGTATGTGCTCTTTGAGAAAGAACAGAACATTCTCTGGCAGTCTGGGGACAACAGTATGACAAAAGGAATTGCATATGAAAACCATGGACAACAGCACAGGAGAGAAACACATGGACCACCTCATTTTATAGACAGATATAATACAACATTGTAGCTCACGCCTCCTGCTGCAAAGGAACTTTATTCCAGACAATATGCAAGATGGAGCCTATCATGCTGGAGCAACATTTCCTCAGATGTGTGCTGGAGAACACAGGCTCTTCACGGGGTCTTTTAGTTAAGAAAAACAGCCTTGTTTTCCTTAGGATGAAAGCTGGGAATCTACACCATGGTTCTCTACAAGAGTCTGTTACACAACAGCCTGTGTAAGTTCTGAACACAGTACTGCAGCAGAAACACCTGTCTGGGCTCATCTGGCAATGACTAAACTTACTATATCTATAGAACACTTTAGTCAAACAAAGAAGACAGTCAATGTTATACCAGAGAATGACCAAGAGTAGGACTCTCATCCCCACAGCTTATGTCCCTCAATGAAAATGTAATTTTATTCAGGCATGGTAACACACACCTTTATTTAAGGCAGAAGAAGGCAGAGCTCTGTGAGTTCAAGGAAAGTCCTCTCAGAACATACCAGAGAACTCAGAAGGGAGCATTGGGGACACAGTTTTACATCTACTTGAATACCAAATATATTATTTCCTGAAAGGAAGTTTTTGTTGACTGGATCAGCACAACTCTGGAGTGTTATTTCTTGTCTATAGGCAGATCCCACAAAGGGCAGAGATCCAAGATAGAAGAGATCTACCTGAATCCAACTCCCAACTCCCAGTCCAGCTCATAACTCATCTGGGGGATGGCCAAGAAATGCTGCAGCTTTCGTGCTAAGTTCTTTTTCTGGATGACCAGCTCCATCTCATTCTGCTGGGACTGCAGGTTTTCCTCCACTCTCTGCTGCTCCTGTTCATTAGAAGATGGTGTTCTTAATAGAGGTTTGAGAACAGGCATGAATACACTCTCAAACAGTACAAGCACACAAGGTGGATCCCAAGAGCTTGATGGTCTCCAGTCTCACCAAAACACAAAGCTTCTGGGAAGGAAGAAAAGAGACTGGTCTCTTCAAGCCATCATTCACACGCACGGTACACCCCTCTCTTACCCCCACACTCTCTTCCAAAACACACTCCAACACACACACACAGAGTGAGACAGAGACCGAGAGAGACATAGACAGAGGAACATAAATTTGAGGATATAGCATACTAGATGATCATGTAAGTTGGGACTAAGCACAGCAGCTCTTTCAGAAGAATTCAATGACTCTGCTCTCCATCCCTCAGAACTAATATTGCATAGGGGAATATGGTCTACTTGGCCAGACTATGCTGAGCTGGTTGAGTGACTTTTTGTCTAGAAGCCTCAGATCTCCCACATAAACTTTCAGCCTGTCACAAGCCACTTCCACATGCCTGGTCAACCCATCAGGACCATGTTGAAAGCTCCATGATGGGAGAACTTGCCAAGGAAACACTTCTGGCAAATTCTCACTGAGGTTTCTGTCAGTGTGAAGCAGGAGTTGAGAATGGTGAAGAAACTGACTTTGAATGTAGAGAATAGGAGGAAGAAAGGCCACATGCCATCCAACACGGTGACAAAGAGAATTTATAGTAGGCTTTCCTTGCAAGCTGATTCCCCTGACCCCACTGGGATCTCACATGAACCCTGCAAAGAAAATGAGCCATGGGCCATGTAACTCCCTCCCTCATGTCAGTACATAACACTCCTCCATCACAATGACATGTAGGAATGTGATATGTATGTCATTGACCCATCTCCCTGCTTGGGCCACAGCTTCAGGAAGAGCAGCAGGGGTTGTTTGCCAATTGATTCTTACAAGAGATTCACTTCCCAGAAATACTGATGCATGGACACAGAAATGAGCAGTTGGATATCATGAGAGTGAGGGGGATGAACGTGTGTGGGAGGGCAGGTAAGGTGATAAGTGAAAGCTCATTTGGGTGGATGGGTAGACAGCAATGTTACGTGAGGAAATGATGCTGGACCTAACCCTGACCGTGGTTGTCCCTACCTGCTGCTCCTGGGTCTGGAGATCTCTGATGACTTGTTCTTGGTCCTCACAGATCACTCTTCCAAGTAGTACTGCAGCAGAATCCATTCCCCTAGCTCCTGCCTCAGCTTGTCCAGTACATACTACACCTGAGTCTTCTCTAACTGGAGTCGGTACTGCAGATGGCTGGAAACACGCTGTATAGTAAGCCCTTCCAGGCTCCTCCTGCCACGCCTGCCTCCATAACCCACCAATCCCACTGGTCTTCAGGTTCCCAGAAGAGACACAGAAAGGAGGCCAATGCAGCATGCCACCTGATGTCAGATGGCCAAAAGTAGGGAAAGAGAATTCCAGAAAGAAACTATTTCTGAATATGCCAACAACAAAAGAAATTCAAGTATCTCTACCAGTGTGTGTGGGGCCCTCAGTGTCCATAAGTGAACATGATAATGGAGCCACATCAGGAGGTAGGGGAGAAATCCTATTGGAGGGAGGATAGAAGAGCCAGGGGAATAGAAGTTCTATGGGGAGCAGGCACTTACCAATAGAAGAGTGGCTTCATGTCGAGCTCATTGAATTTCTCTAAGGCTTTGGTGCTCTCATTCTCTAACCTGTGCAGGTTTGCCATGACCTAGTTACACCTAATCTTGATCTCTTCTGCTGATGGATCTGAATGATGGTAGGGCATGGAGCTAGAAGCAAAAAGCTCCATGAACAAAGTTTTCATGAATCGCATGAATTCAGCCTGTGTTCAAGACTACTAGAGCCCATGGAATGCCACACCCTATGTACTTGGAAATTCTTTTGCTAATTAAACTTGCTATCCTGACCCTAGGCCAGCAGAGGCAGGATGTTCATGTGAAGAGAGGTGAGACTGCTGACATAGCTGGACGAGAAGTTCCCTATTGTCTACCTCATGGGGTGTACCCACCAAAAACTGCGATGTTTCTCCTGTCTTCAAAATATAAATTCTCAATCCTGGTGCCTGTCACAGTGGAGCCCAAAATCACACCACGAAGACTTTTGTGGATGGAACTCTCAACATTTTGGAGAATGGAACTCATGACAGATTTATAAACTCCTCAGGGCATATCTACAAGGCAACAAGGTGCACACATTGGCAGAACTTTAATGCTCAAAGTGGGGATCCCAATGCTCATCACAGGAATCACCTGGAACTGTGAGACAGGAAGCACCTCGTTCCCTGATTGCAGGGTCTAGGGGGAAACACATGCGCAAATGCACAAACACATAGACAAATACACAACACACCTGTGTGTGACAGACAGAAACAAAGGATGTACCCCAGGGATATTAAATAAATGCATGCAGGTGTGTCATCTCAGGACCACAATGTGCAGGGATCAGTTCCAGGCCTTGTATCTGCACACTGAAATGTGTGACCAGGCCTCTCTAATTGCTACTTAAGAACCCAGCACACAGTGTCTTGCCAGGCAAACGATCACCATAAACTCACAGCAGCCTATGTCTCACAGAAGCTGCCACTTGACAGGATCTCTCCAAATGCATCCTGGGAAGTCACACCTCTGTGTCAATCCCTGAGTTATGTGACTCAGGCTACAGGCTCTGGTTTTCATTTGGAGGAAACAGAGTAATAGTCTCTCCCCATCTCACTCTGGCCAGGTTTCAGGTTCTACTTCTGGGAAGCATTTAGAGATAACAGTGTTGGGCAAAGAAACACCCTGAAGGTGTAGACACCTAGAAGCTCAGATCTTAGATCAAAGAAACTAAGGGTGAAATTGTCGAAGCAAGTTGGTCACCATGGCGTTGGAAACAATACCTATTGTCAGAGGTGATCCTTCAGTGACAGAGATGAGGCAATCTTACAGCTCATTTGTTTATTTGGTCACTTGCTCTAGCTGACTGTTCAGACTCTCCATCTTTTATTTCACCTCGTTTTGGTGAGGGGAATTGGGGGTGTTGATGGCTGTACAGCAGCCTCTTTGGGTAGGTGAACACAAATAAACTTGTATTGTGACAAGGCATAGAAGATGAACAGATCACTCTGAGCCCTAAAAAATGTTTGAGAAAGCTTCTGTGCCTGTGACTCAGTGACACACCAATGGATTTTGACCCAGGCTTGAGATGCCCCTCCAGGGGATCTCACCTCTCCTATCTCTGAAGGAAGTTGCATGTCTCAGTCAGCTGCTTTCCCCTGCCCCCTCAGCACATACTTCCCAGAAAGAAAGAAAGGAAGGAAGGAAAAAAGAAAGAAAGAACTTCCTCAGGCTTATTCACAGCTGCAGAGTCTCCATTAAACTTGCCTGTAGAATTCACAAGTCTGGGTTTAGAAGCTAGGAGGCAATTACCATAGTTCACAGGCACTCAAGTCTTTTATGAGAAACCCCAAATCCTGACATGTCACTCCAAGCACACGGCTATAGATGGGGAGGAGCCTTACAGGTGCAGAACATGGTCACCAGACTCATGAAGTCATGTCACTGACAACCCAGGGCACACAGAGAAGGGACACAGTACTTAAAGTTATCTACTGGCGTTGAAGTACAGTGATGCCATGTCTGCAGCTGGGCACACTCCGCTAGTCCCTCCCCCAGGCTGGTCTCATTTTGATGCTGGTCCTCCATCAACCCTCACCGTCCTGTAAGATTGACAGCCAAGAGCCCCCAGCAGAACAGCTTTTGCCTTGCCAGTTCTTGGCTTCTGGGAGAGACAAATTACTACCCTGAAATACTTGATTTCCAGGAGCCCTGTCAGGCAACTAAGTTCAATTTCTTCCCCATTATCCATAGTTCCCACTAAAGTCAACCTTCTCCAGGGAGCTCCCCATTTTCTGCCCAGGACTTACTGGTCTTTCTTTTGAACTATTTCTTTTTTGATGGTTTAAACTGAGGCTGAAGGTCAGGTTTCTTCAGTCTCTCTCTGGTCTCTCTCCTGTCTCCATTTTCTCCTGCCAACATGTTCGTCTGTGAACCTTAGTGGCACTGAAGGCCTCACCAAAGGCAGTTGGTGTTGCTACAACACAGGTGACCTCACAGGACTCCATGGTCTCCAGGACACAATGGAATGTTCAGGAAAGGGGCCACTGATGTCATGTGGAATGAACATGGCCTCCCTGCTAACCAGCTTTCCTCTTAACTCAGCAGAAGTCAGGTTTCCGTATCCAGGAATCTCTCCTGGGACACAAGGCAAACCCTGCAGCACCTCCTTCTTCCAAAACTAGAGATCTCAGACTGATTTGAAATCTTTTAGCATGTGCCCCATGGGAGTACTTAAGTCTTATGTCCTACTGAAATTATATGTGCACAAGGTAATGGTGGTAATGGTATGACGGATTCATTTATGGTACAGTTGTACTACCAGCATCTCCTTATTTAAAGGAAAGCATAGACTTGATGAGAAGGAATCTTCTTACACAACTTCATGGTAAAGAGCCTACAGAAATTATTGTGTGAGTATTGAGTATCACTGGCATTAGTTGAGCATATTTCTTGTGATCTATAGGAGATCACTATCAAAAGGATCTATTTTGAAGAGTATTTTATAATACACCATGAGTTATACATAAACTTACAACTAAAATTCCAGTAGACACGGCTACTAATGCTTTTAAAGATTCCTCTGCAAAGGATAACAAATATATATTTAAATCCAAATTACTCATACTTCACAAATATTGTCCTCTCCCTTGGGTATACAGTAGACACGGCTATTAATGCTTTTAAAGATTCCTCTGCAAAGGATAACAAATATATATTCAAATCCAAATTACTCATACTTCAAAAATATTGTCCTCTCCCTTGGGTATACAGCTCAAGTGCCTAAACTTGAGATCCAATCAGCTTTTATTAAAAATTGCTGAGCCATTAGATACTCTAAATCACTTTATGTATAATTTTCACATGAAGGATAGAGATACACTAAAAATGGAAAATAACCAAACTTGAGAGAAAATAAGTTTAGAATGTAACAATAGAGTCATGAAGGAATGAAAACCTCTAAACTTTTTCTAATTTCTATTTTTCCAGATTTTTATTAATATTTTTCTTTTACTTTACATCCAGTGCACAGTTCATTCCCTCCTCTCCTCCTGCCAGCTCAAGTGCCAGGGACAGGTCCAGTCCTGTACAGGGATCCTGGTCACCCCAGTGAAAGGAGCCCCACAAACAGACCAAGCTACAACACTGTCACACACATGCAGAGGGCCTATGTTGGTCCTGTGCAGGCTCCCTAGATGTTGGTTCAGAGTCGGTAGGCTCTCATGAGTTCACTTCAGCTGTCCTGGTGGGTTCCTCCATCATGATCTTGACTCCCCACTGGATCATGCAATCCCTCCTCCCTCTGTTCAAGAGGACATCCAGCATTCTGCCCAGTGCTTGCCTGTGGATCTCGGCATCTGCTTCAATAAGTTACTGGATGAAGGCTCTCTGATGACAATGAGGGTAGTCACTCATTAGTTCAGACACTGTCTCTACCTTTGGTAGGACTCTTAGCTAGTGCCTTCCTGTGGAATCTTGGGAGTTTCCTTCACACCAGGCTTCTC